CATTCAGTCCTAAGAGAAAAATAATATTATAATGTTATATTCTGTATTGTTATCCTGCTTTCTTCTGATCTTAGTGCTATTCTTGCTGATCAGCTGGGCTACAATTGTAGAACAGTCAGCCATATATATCTCAGTTAAATGTGAGAGTGGTATTTGGCTATGTACTGTCTATGAGATAGGGTTGGAATGATGTGTCAGAAGATTTGTAATATTATTTATTCATATTCCTTATGTATCCCAGAATTTTGTCATTGTGGGGATTGTTATAAAATACAAAAAATTAGAGATTGTCTACGAGTTTTGTAAGTAATGGTCAAAGCATTGAGGGGGAAATCCCTCCCACTGCTGTTTGAGATTCCTTTGGATGGGCAGTGCTTCTTTTTACTAAGGTCCTGTTTCGTTTGGTGTTTATTTACCACCATTTCCTTTAACTAGATAACTTCTTCAGTGCACATTATATATCTTTTATTTAACAGGATACATGTTTTGTGCATTGTCTTTTAAATTAAAAAGCATTTAGGTGGTCCAGTCTGGGGGAGGCTGTAAAATGGAGACAGGACAGTAGGGCTTCTTTCTGGTGTTGCTGGGATTTCAGGAAAGGTTTGGTATATCCAAGTTCAAGTTTGCTTGTGTCAAGTTAGTGAGGATAAGGAACACATCCTTTTGCTTTTCTTCCTTTTATGCACTTACACAGGCAAATGTGAGTGCATGTGAAATGCAGCCACGTTCTGCATGAGAGATGAGAAGCTGTTCTCAGTGAGTGTATCATAGCTGAGTCAGCTGGGCCCCCTGCTGCGCTCGCTTTGTTGGTTTTAAAGGTCTGTGTCCTAAAGTACCTAGTTCTGTTAAATATTAGTAAGCCAGTACAGTGAATTTTGATCAACCAAAGTTGACTGAAGATGTATTGTCTGCCTTGTGTGTTGCGTCTGGTAAACAGCTGGTTGCTGTGGAAACTGCCTCAAAAAGGTAGAGGGTCCTTGGTACCACAAATTCTGTAAACAAAGCCTGATAATAGCGCATTCTGACATTAGTCTTCGAAGAAGGATGAAAGAGGAGGAAGAGATTCAGACAGCTTTTTCCTTTTGTAAACTCACTGCTTTATAGGGGAAAAAATAGCTAGAAATAGTCTGTCTCGCACAGAATGAAAAGGTTGGGGATTAAGGCAGTGCATTAGTGAAACAGCTGTATGAATGTGAAACAGAAAGTTCTCCAGCTTCAGCCATTATGGGTTTGTTTGGTTAGGTCTAATTTTGGAAGTCATTATAGCAAAGGTAAATGACTTGCGCAGGAGACTACTGTAAACAAAAGACTCGATACATTTACTTTGGCAGGAGCCCTGAGAAGACTCGGTCCTTTCACTGCCTCTTTTATGCAGCCTTCTGTAATACTCACTGCCCGCCTCTGTGTGCAGGCAGCTCTCATTTCCCTTCCTCCTGTCTGACAGCTTCTTTCCTCTGACAGGTAGGATTTAGGGGTGGCAGCACCTGCCATTGAAGTGCTGGTGTGGAGCTGTAGAATACCTTTATTTTTATAGCAGCTGTCCCTTGACTTCTAAAGGCACTGTTTTGTGCTCAAGTAAGAATCCATTCATTCTCTCTGGTTTATACTGGAGTACAAATGCTTTACTCTTTAATTGTGGTTCCCCTTTGGTGTTTTTTCTTTTATCATTTCATAGTTTTATATCTACAGATTCTGAGCATACTGATGCTTCACTGAATTTATAGTTTTTCAGTGAAGAGTAAACCATGAGAATTGCAATTCCCTTTCCGGGTCTCTACTCATGTAGTTCAGTCAAGGCTCTACCCATTCCACACCTACTGACTCACACTTATGTGGGTGGGAAGGCAACTTCTAGACTCATATAATCATAGAATTAGGGTTGGAAAGGACATTAAGATCATCAAGTTCCAACCCCCCTGCCATAGGCAGGGACACCACACACTGAACCATGACACCCAACACTGCCTTCAACCTGGCCTTGAGCACTAACATGATGACAGAGAGTGTCCATGCAGAGTCTGCTTCTTCCCTTTAACAGAGCTCCTCATGAACATATCATATGGCTGTAGGAGAGCTTCCACTGACTTCTAAAGCTGGGAGGATGGAGTAGAGGGGCAGAGTCAGTATCCTCTCCTAGCTGCCCTCACTTGCTGGCTCCTCTTCTGCACTCCCTGTCTGTTGGGTGACCTGGGAGACTCTCCTTCACCCATCTCATGGGTGAATGCTGTCTGCTGCCACTTCCCAGATTCCCAGAAAGTGCTTTCAGTCAAGGAATAATTGTTCGGGTTCACTTTGACTCCTAAATCAGATGGGGCACACTCTATTGTGAATTCAATATTTTTAAATGCAAGATAATTATGCTGCATCACAAGAAACCCATCTCTGCACGTTCTCACACGCTTTATGCCCATGGGGAATAGCAATGCTGCTGGTCATTCTGATACATAACTAGCATCAAAGTAATCTATAGGGTCATTTTCTACTGCTGCTTTAGAAGAGAGGATTATCTTTATCTCTGAAATTGCTCCCTTAATGCTCCTTAACTAGCAATACAGTAATCAAGAAGCTGGTATGAAAAGATTTTGTCTAATAGTAGCCCTGATCTCTGAAATGGAGTTTAACCACATAATAATTACACACTAAAATGTTTGACCAGTCTGACTGATATAAACAAACCAACCATGGAACTGAGTGCCTGGAAAGAGGTTTTATTTCAGATGAATTTCATCTCACGCTGTATATACAACATAGCAGTATACTTTCAGGTCAGGTGACTGATTCTGAAGAAAAAGATGTGGTTTTAACTGCATGAACTCTTTTGAACCTTCTACCTGCAGGGTCTTTGAATGTCAGAACCAGACAGCTTTGTTTTACTGGTATTATTCTCCAAGGTCTTAAAAAGCCAGAAAAGTAACACAAACGTTCTGTTAAAGAGACACATCCTGCTCTTGACTTACTGGAGGTGCAAAAGATACACATTTTGAGAAAGCTAACACAATGTTCTGACTTTACGTTAAGAATTAATAAAATATAGGCATCTTTTTTCCTGTGAGGAGATACTTCCTTCTGTATAATCTAAATGGTGAGGTTTGGTTACTGCCTCCAGTATGAGAATATAAACCCAAGGTCAAGTGCAAAAGTTTTGGCTATCCGTACTTGTTTTAAATCTCCAGTATGAGATCCAGCCTGGCATTTCAGAGGTGGCAGAGTGGCTTTAGATAGTTTAGAACACCAAGAAGTTGTGCAAAAGTGCTCCATACACAGCAACATTCAGGAAGTGGGCACCTTCCTTGGAGTGAGGAGCCAACATCATTTATAGCACAAAGACCTAAGTGATACGTACAATTGAAGACCCATTTTCCATCTGTGAAATTAACATCATAACCTTCTTTTCCTCTTAACAGTAAGGTAGTATAACTATTTCTAGAAGATTAAACTCACAGGCATTAGTGTATTCCTGATACAATATGCTCTTTTTCTTAATTAATCTTTGGTTTGGAGGATGTTTTACTTCCCTACACATCAGAATGTGCTTTAGATGTACCATGCTCAGTAGAATTAACTGTGAATAAAAGCTTGTTTTATTTTCAAAAGGAGTTTTGTCATCTCTGCCCAGAAGACTTGGTGAACTTATTAAATGCTGCAGACACGTGCTAAAAGCCATGGTATTGATGGGGAGGTGTGTGGTGCCTTTCCCTGTCTCTCACCCACCAAATCCTTCCAGAAACAGGGAAGTGTGTGCGGTTCCAGGAGCTGTCAGTCTATGGTTGTACTCAGCAGTCGGAGAGGAGGCTGTTGAGGGGGTGTCCTTAAATTCTGAAAGTCTAATGAATCTAGATTTGTTCTTCTAAGCTCTGAGCAATCTCTATCACGCTGATTTAATTAGTGAAAAACTCTCTTTTCGCAAGACAAAACTTAGTGGCACATATGTTTATGATAAGTTTATTTTTGATTTTAAATTTATTTCTGGTATTACTAAATATATATAATAATATATAATATTGTATTTATTACATTTATTGTGGTATATAAATACTTGTGGTATTTAAATGTATTTATGTTTAAAATTAATGTATTTATGGTATTTAAATTTATTTATGTTAAAAATTATTTATTTATGGTACATAATGTCTCATCCCTGGCAGTGTTCAAGGCCAGGTTGGATGGGGCTTGGAGCAACCTGCTCTAGTGGAAGGTGTCCCTGCCTGTGGCAGGGGTTGGAACTGGATGAGCTTTAAGGTCTCTTCCAACCCAAACCATTCTAGGAGTCTATGATGCTATGGTAGCAGAGCCAAATGCAGGTGGGACTTCCCGCTAGGTGAAAGGACTGAGGGCTGAGGGTTGCTCTGCTTGTGGTCATAGTGACCATAACGTTCTCGATACTTCCTAAGGCCAGTGAAGGTTCAGAAGAGATTATTTAAATCTGTGAGGAAATGCAGCTGCAATAGGAGGAATTTACTGCTTAAAGCAGTTTCTCCTTTAGAGTTTCTGTAACTATAGACACCTTACTCCTAGTAGAAACTGCTGAAAAGGACAGAAATGGAAAAAAAAGATGGCCCTTGCCTGATGCAACAGGTGCAGATTCAGTTGCGAGCATGAATCTCTGAGCTGAATCTCATTCACATGCCCAGAGAATGGCTGCAGGCATCTAGTCAGAGCTCCCACAGGAATGTGGGATTTCTGCATAAGTATTTCATATCTCTTGGAAAGATGCCAAGCAGAATTTAATTGCTTGCGGTGAAATCTTTGTGGCTAGATAGGACACTGAATACTTTTGAACTTTTAAATTGCTGTGGGACAGCCTGAGCTAGCATGGTTGTGTTTAATACACAGATAATGAAAGATACTTCTTAATCAGATAGAGTTCTTTGGTGCACTGTTTTGGTTTATATGCATCACACTGACTTGAGGGAGAGGAAGGGAGTTCTTGTAATAACATACACACTTGTTTTTCTGTTTAGTCAATTGACAGGTGTTTGGTTTTTCTTGTGTCTGCCCAGGAAACCACGTCTTGTCTCCTGGAGAGTCTGTTGGAAAAGGTCTAACGCCAGAAGCTGCAAAAGATCTCGGTCTCCCTGAAGGGATTGCAGTAGGAGCATCTCTCATTGATGCCCATGCCGGAGGACTAGGTACTCAGTCACATATTTACTATTCTTGGAAACAGGAATGTCTTGAACTCATTTCAGAAAACCATTTTTCTCACAGACTGTTCTGTATCCAACAATTTGCTCTGATGCGATTCCTATGAAATAGCATAGCTAAAAACCCAAATCCATCACAATAACTGCTAATATTGAATATCTATTTATAGAGAGGGGCTGTCACTCTTTATTTCTTTTCAGCTGGATTTCCATGTTGTTTGATAACTTGTGCTATTTCCACTTTGAATTCCTGAACTGATACACGAGTGTTTTGGCATGTAAACATGCTGAGAGTTTGCATCTTCTGTTGCTCAAAACTTTGGGATAGGGAATTAAAATAAAACCCATAACATTCTAGGGGAGAAGTCTTGTTCATGGTTACTCTTCCTTCTTAGTTTTAGAAGTAATTTGTACTTTGTCTAAATGCAATATAGGCTTTTTCTATATATGTTTTTGCTAGCACAATGGGAGATACATAGCAAAAAAACACTGCTTTTGATCTAGAGGGTTTGAATATGTCAGTGATGTGTATCTAAACTTACAAACCAGACTAGAGGGGAAACTGGCCTCTGTACAGCATTCCCCTTCTGCAACTTTTATCCTTAATTGTAGTGGGAGGCTTGTTGCTTAGGTTTTCTCCTTTTCCAGCGCTATATTCTGGTGTTCCAGGTTTCAGCTGTGTTGAAATGTATCAGGTGAGGCTCCATGGCTTCATTTTCTTACTATGTTTTTTGGCCTTATCTAAATAAAGTCAATAAAAAGGGATTTAATGTAGCTTTTTCAGCAGGAAATTGAGGTGGGTTTAGTTTGATAGTTCAGAAAAAAGTCTTACCTCAGAAAGTTTCAGTGTTACTGAAATAGTGCTGTTCAGTGGAAATCTATTGCTCATCAGAGGATTTTTCTCTAGATCTAAATGAATATGATTGACTGCTGAAGTACCAGTTGTGCTTCAAGTATTTTCTTGTGGTTTAAATTTCATTTATTCTTCTAGAAATTGTGGCCTGGAACATACAGAATGTTGAAATCCATTTACATTGCTTTTGATAACTGTTTTTGCTGAGGTTAAGTCGTCATGTAGATTGCTTTTCTTATTACCTCAGAAGGATTAGATTATAGATCCAGCTGCAAAAATACCATTGAGTTTTAGCGCCATAGTTGTAGATGTGTTGTGTCCCTGCTATTGTGACTTACCTAAAAATCTGTTTGTGTGAATTAGCATGCTAATTGCATAAAAATGTGTTTAAAACTGTCTGCCCTGGCAGTTTTGTGTTCTTGAAAAGGATGTAATAATAAGCTGAAATAATGAACTTACTGAAAAACAGGATTGTCACAGAGCACATGAAAATGGCAGTGGAGGGTCCTTGTTTAATTGGAATCATTATGTGAGTACTGGATTCAGAGCACAGAAAGCGTGCCCAGTAAATTTCATGTGCTGAAATCTGAATTGAATTTAAAGAAGAGGAAGGAGCAACTGTCTGTTCATTTGCTATTGACTTACTTATATGAAGAAACTCTAACATTGGAAGTATATAGCTACTGGCATCCATCAGAGTAAGATTTCAGTGGATAGACAGTCTGCTTATGCTAGTCCTGATTATCAGAATATGTTTTCCCAGATGGCACTACAAACACCAGCAGCCTACTGAAATCATTGCCAGGAGGAAAATAAAATGTATAGGTGGTGGTTGTTAGAGAGGGAGAGATGTTATTGCATAAGGATGTCAGTAACCCAACAGGAGGATCTGCGTGCTAATCACATGATAACTTGAGTCTGGGAAAAGAGGAAGATCCTTCTTGAATCCAGGAGGTGAAATAAATAGGTGGGGAAACTAGCAGAAAGCACAGTAAGAAGGAAAAGAATCGGATAGCAAAAGGGACAGCAGGAACAGGAGAGCCCAAGAGTGCAAATGTACGTATAGAAAAGGAATAGTGTGGCTACATCTCAGATACAGAATAGCTCTTCTTCATCCATAGCTGTTAATAACAAAAACCTCAACCTTTCTAAAGTCTACTTTAACCTACATTGTGCAGAATACAGAGCTGAAAATCCTGAAGGAAAAGTAGAAACGCAGAAGAACACGTCATAGAAGTGATACTGTTCTGATTCAAAGATGTTAAGAATGGCAATGCACTAAAGCATATTAATCTTTTAATAATGATAAAAGGGGCACAGAAGAAAGCAGAGAAGAGATATTTGAAAGAATGAATTAAAATGTGAAAATATTGGAAATACGTAACTCTTGTAAAACTTTTGTTTGAAAAGGTGCTGATGTATGTTTTAGTGCTTGCTCTTCTGTGAACTGTAGTGAAATATTGAGGGTTACAATTTGCTTGAAGGATATGACTTGCTTATTAGTGAGCATTAGATTAGTCTGTGGGACAACAGCATCCAGTGGGTGTCATTATTCTTATTCTGGAACACATTCTGCTGGTCGTTTAAAAATAGTCTGTAATGGCAGAGTAATGACAAGGGCTCTCTCTTATCCTGAAGGCTAAACCAAATGACATGATGGATGTCTTGTTTTCATTGTTAATAACTTTTAATGCACTGTTCAGATCTGCTTTTGGCTGGATAGAAAGTGTGTTTTTGCTGGACAGGTTACTTAAGTTTATGAAGGTTTCAAAGTTTTGAGTAAATTAAGGTAAATAATTACTTAATATGCATGTCTGTGGAGGTCATCTATGACTCCTGAATCAGTCCATCTGACACCTATTATGGAAAAGCTGGGTAGTTGTGTCTCACATTTTGACCTACTGTACCGATTTATAAGAGCCTACAGATACAAATGCAAGTATGGAAGGGCAGTCATTTGGGACTGGCCTCATAAAAATCATGTTTACATTGCACCTTTTAAAAAGACATCAGCATTGTTTCAGCAGAAGTAGATTTATTGCACAGTATCTAAAATACTTTGTGGAAGAGATCCAAAAGGACACATGCTAAGCATCACATGCTTTCCTACAATCTCTCCTACACTTTGTCTGCTATACACACTTCTTGTTCTCAGTCTCTCTTGAGAATCTTCAGGATATTTTTAAGTCTGCCTCAGAGTATGAAAAATGCCAACTAAGTTAAAGGTGGAAGTGACTTATAACAGCACTGGTGTTATATAAGCTTTCATTGTTATGGGAATGTTCCAGACTTATTTAATGCCTCAATTTAATTAATCTCAAGTAGGAAGACCCCAGCAACTCAACTGTAAATCCTAGTAAAGCCACTGATCTCAAAAAGGCCCTGCATGCCTATTTTGCAGAATGCATGTTTTCTTACTGATTAAAAAATATCTAAACATGAAGCTCTTCAGTTCTGTATTGTTTATGAGACTACATTTGCAACATATGCTGCCAATTCAGTTGAATAGATTTGTTCCCTCTGAAGTGTGAACATTATTTTTAACTCCTTTAAGAAATTGTAATAGTGTTGCCTAGTACAGAAAATTGCTTTTAAACAGCCCTGTCCAAAATTCTTAATATGAACGCATGCATGTCTCTGAGCAGCAAAAATTAAAGCATTAGAGGTAGAAGGCATACTTTTAGCTTTCCTTACAAATAAACTCTATGACAGCTGTGCTAGTACGTAGTTACAAGCCAGCTAGGACAAAGGACAGATTTTTGAAGACCGTAAAGCTTTAGCCTTTAATTTTCTGATTATTTAGTTAACTTCCAACCATGATGGAATTGCCATAATAACCATGGCAATCATGTAAGACAAGCCCCAGCAGACCAATTTGATAGCAGAATCTTGCAGTGGTGACTTAAGCAAGAAAGTGTTCATGAAATGTAGCATACTAACCAGCAGTAACACTTGGCATCTTTTGTGATGTCCGGCAAATGCTTTCATTTCTACTACAGTGAGGAGGAAGATGTTTTTAGGAGGACTGGCAAACTGGTCGCCAGATTTCTCGTTGCAGATGCAATGTGCAGTCTGGTGACCAGTTTGACAGTTGAAAAGTAATACTCAAGAGAAACAAAAGACAAACAACAGAATATTACTTGTTGGGCTGCTGGATTTTGCTGGGTGCAGCACAACGTGATGCAAGAATGCAGCCTAGCAGAGGAGAAAGAGAGGGCAGGATTTCCACTTCAGCCTGCCCTTAAGCGAGTTAAGCAGGCTGTGATGCGTACTGAAGCCTGGCTGTAGGTTTGCCCCATTCTGTAAGCAAGCTCCTGGCTCCTCTCTGGCATCTCCTGGGTATGTGCTTCTGCTGCAGGCTGAGTGCTTGCTGAGTTTGTTCTCTGTCCTGTCCTGTCCTGCACGCAGAAGCTCCTCAGAGCCAAGCACAGGTCTCTAAGGGAAGGAGTAATCTTCCTTTAGATGGTTCTGTCTGACAGGGATACAACAGCAGCAGCAGTCAAGACAACAAAACTGGCAGCCTTCCAGTCTCCTGCCAACTTAGCCCTCATCTCCTGACATAACACATCATGCAGTATATGCGTTATAAACTGTGAACAAATAAAGATAGCTGCAGCCTACCAAACTGCCTTTCAAAACTGCCTTTTATTCTGCAAGCTAGTGTACTACCAAAGAGAATAACAATTAGATTGTAGTCAAAATAACATTCAAAAATTATGGTGATAAACATGAGCATCAGAGGAATCATCTTGTATCTGAAATAAAAATACATTTCAATCTGAATTCATAAAATAACTTTGCTTCTTGACTAAGTAGGTGCTGTTGATTTGTAGCAGTGGTGTGAGATACGCGGCAGTTACTTGTGTGTGGAAAAAGCTGTTTTGTGAGGGTTGGCTTGCTCTTCTCTTAAATAGATTTCAAATTTTATTTTAATAGGAGTAATTGGAGCAGATGTGAAAGGACATAACCTGCCATGTGAGAACCAGCCAATTACATCCCGAGTTGCTATGATCTGTGGAACATCCTCATGCCACATGGGGGTAGGTTGTATGCATAGCCCTAATTTGTGCGGAATATGCTAGCTAATGTTTTCGAAGGGAAAAATGACCTTTGTCCTTCTCACCCTTATCCTTTTCCTTGATTTTTTTTTTTCTGGTAACTCTATCTTTACCTTTGGATATTAATTATATATTACCATGCATTTGCTATTAAGCAAGAACTTTAATAGTAGTAGAAATCAATACTGAAAAATGACATGGAAAGTAAAAACCACCATGCTGGAGTGGCTTAAAGAGCAGCCTGAAATCTGAGCCAAAGACTCTGAGCCTGAGTTATCTGTCACAAGCCTGTCACCAGTGTGCTACAGAATAGTGTCTTTGGAGAAGGAGTGCATGTCTTCAGTCACAGCCCTTCTCCCCCACCTCTTCACTTAATCAGTGTAAATCCTTCTACCTCTGAAAGTTGCCGTGATGTATAGAATTATGATACGTATCATGACTAAAAAGAAAGAAAAAGCCCAAAAAGCCATTTTCACTTTGCTAATTTTTCTCGGTAAATTAATACAAAAGCTTTTCCTGAGATTGCAATTCAAATTTAGTGTCTGCTTTTGAAATTTATACCTTTTTAAAATGTATGAGTCTAAAAGCATTCCCTTTAGATAAGTACCCTTTTCTGCTGCGTTTTTTGTTTAAAACTCATTTTGGTCTCAAATTTAGACTGATTATAGCTTGCATTTTTCCAAAATTAGCAAATGGCAATGGGAGTACTGGAGGTGTTAGAGAGGACTAACATGCTTCATGGAGAGAGCTCCAGTGCAGAAAAATAAAGGAAGCTGATAATAAAATGTCAGGCTTAACAGTAAGTTAAGTTGTCTTTGTAGTACAGCATGAAAATGTGGTGATTTTGAGCATGAATAAATGGTGATCTTGTCACACAGACTGTAGTTCAACAAAGCATTTTAGCATATGATTGAATTTAAAGATGTGAATAATCCCACTGTTGTGAAGCAAAGCATTGGAAAAAAAAAAAAAAGCTTAACTGGAGTGTATTTGAATTCCTTCCTAAACAAGAGTTTCAAACCTCAGACTCCACGCTCTTAGCTTATTCTGTCTCTGAAAAATTACATTGGTACCTCTTGGTCTACCACAGGGCAGGTAGGGCACCCTGCACATACCAGCTCTGGGGGAAGAAGTCCCCCTTCGAGCCTGCCACTACTTTTATTATTTCCAGGTTTTTTGATGGAGGTTTCTGCCCTCTCTGTGTGAACCCTTCCTAACCTATTTCATTTACTTGAGTTAGTTTAAATTCTTAAACTGAGTTAGGTAATAGACACATAACACTTGCCTGAAATGAGCTGAGGAGCTCGCAGTTTCCCCCAAAGGTAAGGGCAGTGTTGAGCAGCTGGAAATGGGCCAGCTGGCTCTAACTTACTCCTTTAGTATAACTAGCCCTGGAGGAGGAGATGTGTGTGGTTATTTGTTCATTTTTAATACATGTATATTGGTAAGTTCCAGCGTAGACCCAGGTCACAACTATACTTTGTTTTGCTTCCCAAACTAGAGCATAACTTATCAGTATAAACACTTTCACAGCACTTTTTGCATGCGTGCTCTATAACCATGAGAGATGTGGCCCCATTAAACCTGCTAATGTAACAAAAGTGACCCAACAAAGTCCATGTTGATGTTAATCAGTGTTCGGTTGTCATTAAACCAACCCCAAATACACATACACAGACTGCACACCATAGACAAGGCAGAACCTTTTAAGGCTCCTAGTCACTTTAAGCAAGCTTTGGTATAGATGCTTGTGCAGTTTTAGGCTAGATTTAACTAGATCTGTATTTAAATGTAACTACTCAGCATTTTATAACCATTTCCTTAGCTGCTTTGCTTCTCTCATCTGCAGAGAAGTATAACAATCTCTAGGCAGCAGACAATAAGCAAATTCTAAACTTCTCTGGATTTAATCTGTGAAAGGACTTTGCTTTACTGTTCTTTTATCTATTACCTGCATAGACTGCATAAAGTAAATGTCGAGCACACAGAGCAGTTGTATTTATGTTTTAATGAGACCTCTATGCAGCTGCATTTGGCTGAAATTAGCTGTTCCTTTTTTTAATTAGGGCTATAAAATGAAAGTATATTATACTTGTGTTTTGATAGAAATATATATTTTCTCTCTCCCTGTGCACCAAGGGACCCTCAGGGCTACAGAGATTAATCATCGAGTTTAATTTAATGCAGTGGGAGAGAGACCTGTGTGGTCAGGCGGGCATTAAAAAGTGCCTTTGATCTGCCTCAGGTGCACTGAGCCCCAGTGAGCCAGCAACAATAATACCTTTGTGAGATGATCAGAGACGAGAGAGGGAGAAAATGGCCTGTGTGGAAACTCAAGGCCGTCCTTTGTTGTGGTTCTGGCAAACGAAAGAGCCAACTGTCAGGAGAAATTCAGAAAACAGAAAGCAGGGTGAAAGTATGGTTGGATTTCTTTCAAGGGCTCGTAACAGGAAACTGTTCAAAATCATCTGCTATGCCTTGCTTTCCCTCCTCCCCCTCCTGTTCTGGAGAGGGCAGGGGTACTACTGCTGGTGTATATGTGTTGGTACAGTATTTCCATTCTCTACACCAAATACTTCATGAGTCACAGGAGCAGGTATTGCTTGAACACAGCATTTACTTGAAGAGAAACTGCACCATGACCCAGTTTTTCATTACCTCAAGGACTCTAGAGATCTTGAACAAAAGACTTTGCTAATCATGTCTTTGATACTTTAGAAAGTACTAATGTGGGACCTAATTTTACTCATGGCTATAATAGTTTAATTTGTGGTAGAACTACCATTTTTAAGTGAGGATACGCTTTTGGAATTAACCACTGGCAGTTTGGGGTAATCAGACACACACAAAGCATTTTGTGTTTCTGTTGAGGTACTTGAATAGCTCATGAAAGAAGCAAGAAGCAGACTGTAATTAGGTTACTGATCCAAGTCCAGGTCTGAGCTGGTTGTTGCAGAAAGTCACTGCCACCTCAGGGCTCATCCATTATCCATGAGCAAAAAGGAAAGAAAAGATGGTTTTCTGAATATTTTTGGACAGTTATTCATTTTACATGATTCTCTGCTGCCTCCTTTGCCCTAGAAGAGTCATCAGCAGAATCTGCATTTGCTGTGGCAAATAACCTGTCCTTTTACGTGTCAAGGGTTGTCTCTCAGTTTAGGGCTGGGATTCATTGGCTGCAGGTTTGATCTCTCTCTGCAGCATAGGTATTCCTTTCAAGTGATGGATACTCAGTGGCTGACTTTCCTGAGTGGGCTGCTGCATGTCACTATGCTTTGCAGACAGGGCCTCTAAGCTCCAGCACCCACATTCAGTTCTGGAACTTTTAGGAGACTTTCCTTGTGTAGCCATGGAGACTACACAAAATGTGTGAGCAGTTTTTCACAGTAAAATAGCAGCAGGTTTGAAGCATTGAAATAAGAGCTTGCATGTTGTTCCTAGCTAGTAGTTTGCATGGGTCTAACAGACGTGCTCTAACTTCTGGGAATAAGGTAATTGGTTTCACTAAAAGCCCGACTTCCTGTCAATATCTTATGGGGTTTATGGGATATTTAAAAGGTTTCAAAAATCCTTTCTTTTCTCCTGAAACCTTTATGTGATTTAGGAGATGTAGGTAGATATCTGCCTTATTTTGTCCCAGTCCTGAACACAAGCATGCTTGCCCTTTTGCAGATGTATAAAACCACCAAGAACTGAGTTTACTCTTGGGTGCCAGTTAGCAATCAACAAAAAAGTAATATGAGGAAGCAGTGTGGCAGGGGAGTTGGACACAGACATTTCCTAGTGTTCTTTGGAGCAAGTGATCTAGCAGTACTGCTGCTGCTTTCTGGTTTTAAACTGAAAGAGGGTAGATACAGACTAGCTTATAAATATATATATAAGGAAGATGTTTTACAATGAGGGTGCTGAGGCGCTGGGACAGCGTGCCCTGAGGAGCTGTGGCTGCCTCATCCCTGGCAGTGTTAGGTTGGATGGGGCTTGGAGCAACTTGGTCTAGTGGAAGGTGACAGTGGGTTGGAACTGGATGAGTTTTCCAGGTCCCTTCCAACCCAAACCATTCTGTGATTCTATGATTCTGTTCTATAGAACATGGGAGATCTTAGTATATGGGAAATCTTATAGTATGGGAAATATTGCAGTTTCCCCTACCTGATACCAGCATAGCACTCCTCTTGTGGGCACCAAATTCACAAAATAAAACATCCTTTTTTCCTCAAAGTAAAAGAATCTACAGGTCAGAGGAAACTTACCTGACACTGAACAAACTGGGACCAGACAGGGACTGGTTTTTGGTAGCCAGAGATTATGGAAGGAATTTGCAGAATTAAAATGGTGACATAAATGATAGATCTGTAATGGGAACAGTGAGGGTGCTGAGGGTTATGGAGTCACTAGGAGGGCAGAGTGGCAGAGGGCAGAGTTATGCACATTGAATAAGGTAGGAGAGATCCACATAAATTAGCCTCGTTGATAAAACACATATAAACTCTCATTTCTGCCTCTTTTGTTGTGAATTAGGCTCACTCAGAGATAAGTGTTGTGCTTTGCACTTGTCCCAGAACAGTTGTTCTGTTATCTAAATATTTGTCATTCTTGCTCTAACACCTTTTTGGATTCACAGCTGAAGGAAGTAGCCAGAGCAGCTTCTAATGGGAACACTGCCTGGCCTGATTTCAGCTTACTGAGGCAGAGGGGGTCTGAATTTGGTGGCATTTTGAGTCCCAAATATACAGGGTTTGTGTTCCCTCCTATGCACGTTTAGGGATGTGTCTGTGTTCTTCTTCAGTCATTCCTTCTTCTTTATCAGCTCTCTATTCCAAACTTAATTTTTGAGGGGATTGTCAAGGAATCTTTTCAGGTTTAGGTGGAGATTCTCTTTTGCATCTGTTTTGTTACTTCTGTGACTCCTGTCATTGTGAACTGCCTCACCTGGCTTGGCGCACAATTCCTTTTTCCCTGGGTGATGATGTGTATGTGGTTTG